ATGAATTCAGCCAGCATTTATTAAATACCTGCAGTATACCAGGCACTGTGCTAGATGCAGAAGTTACGAGGCCAAAAAAGGAAGAGTATTTATTCTCAAGGGGCTTACATTCAATCTGGGGAAGCAACATATGCACATATAAATATATACAAAATATACACAAAGTAAATACAAAGGAATTTCAGCCTCATGTAGGAGTTGACGTTTGAACTGAGCTTTGAAGGAAGCAAGAGGAAAGGGCTGTTGCTATAGCCATTGACATTTATATTAGGAATAATGGATAATTTCTTTTTAGAGTTTTTTTAATGTAATGATATGATAATGATATGATAATGAATGATAATAATGAATAATGATAATAATAATAATAATAATAATAATAATAATAATATAATGATAATATGAGTGATGAGGGAATTTTATGTCTCCAGAGGTACTTAAAACAAGAAATGTTCTAATTTCTCTGCATTGTGTTAAAATGTGGCCATGCTTGAGACAGGTGACCTTGGGAAAGTCTTTCAGAGCTCAATATGACAGAGATGAGAGGACTAAGCACTACTCCTTGGCCCTGAATAAATAGTTAAATATTTAATGAGGTACAGCTTTTAAAGCTTTTGTAGACTTCACAATCCAAGAACTCAATAAGCATCTGTATAAGTAGATAAATTAAGGCAAAGGTAGTTCATGATGGGTTTTTTTCCTGCCTTATTTGTGACCACTGATTGCTTTAAAATTGATCTAAGTGTCATAATTGATGATGTTTTATTTGTGCCTGGAGGCTGTTAGTGAGATTAGTGAACCAGATTCATTTACCAAATATCGATGAGGCATTCCAGGAATCCTGCATGTGCACTGGGTGCCCACCTCCCCCATTACACTAGGGAAGGCAAACATGTCCTTGGGGACTCTTGAGTTATAGCTTAGGGTGGATGGAGACCCACAGAGTACCTTGAGTATCTTGAGCTTGAGGGAACGTTGTCTAGGGAAACCACCATGGGAGCTAGGCTATTACATCTGAGAAGTACCTGTTCCTCACCTCTATCTCTTAGAATCCATAGCCTCTTTAAAATTTGATTCAGGTGTTTCTCATACTAGATTATCCTAATTACTAGGGCCTTCTTCTTTCCTTAAATTATCTTCTAAAGACAAAAACTAAAAAAATTATCCATTTGCTTGTCTATTTAAATGTTGTACTACTCCTTCTCCTTAGAATAAGGGCGAGGACTATTTTTTATTTTGTCTTTAGAGCTCCAGCACTTAGCATAATACCACTCCCAGAGTAGGCCCTTAATAATTCTTTTGGTCTGGGTATGGTGGCATGGGCCTGTAATTGTTGCTTTTGGGGAGCCTGAGACTGGATTGCTTGAGCTCAGGTGTTCTGAGCTGCACTGGGCTAAAATGAATCAGATATGGGGGAGATAGATGGGACAGTGCCAAACATGCCAAGCCAGGAGTCAGAAAGGTCTAGTGTCAAATCTGGTCTCAGATACTACCTACATGACCCTAGGCAAGTCACCCTTAACCCTGGTTGCCTCAGTTTGCTCATCCTGTAAAATGAGCTGGTTAAGGAAATGGCAAACCACTCCAGTATCTTTGCCAAGAAAATCCCAAATGGGGTCGTGAAGGGTTAGACGTGACTGAAATGACTAAACAGTCTGTACTAAGACAAGCACTAGTATAGTGAGGGGGCAGCAGGGTTGGGGACAAAAGGTGGACCACTAGGCTTCCCCAGGAGGGTCAAACTGTTCCAAGTCAGAAATGGAGCAGGGCAATGCTTCTGTGCTAATCAGTGGTTGATTCGAGTCCGAGGCTGGCCGCTACGCTTTTGGGCTGAGCAAGATGGAGAGAGCTCAACTCAAAGTTTGTAGAACTAAGTTGGAGACGCAAAGGGCTTTAAACCTCAAATTATGAAGAAAAGATTTTCAGCGCGTCTGCATTGATAGTGAACATAGTCCTAACCCCCACCCTTGGATGTACAATTCTAACTGTTCTTCCTCCGCCTAATTCAGCAGCAGTAGGAAAGTGGACACTGGGCAGAGAATGAGTAGAACCGGGTTGTCATGCTGACCTTCTCATTAACTACCTAAGTGATTGGGGTACGCATCATAAAATGAAACGAGTTGGGGGTGTGCATTATAAAATTAAGCAAGTTGGATCAGATGATCTCTTACTGTCACTTTCAGATTTAATCTTTTCTGGTTCTATGACTCCCAGAAATTTGCTGCCTGGAAGTCCGTTCATTCATACAGCAAAGGTTTATTGAACCGTGCTGTAATAACAGTGTCGTGGAGGGGTGTAAGTCAATCCAACAAGCATTTATGAAGCTCCTACTTATGTGAAAGACCCTCGGGATACAAAAACAAAATGGAAAACAATCCTTGCCTTCAAGGAACTTACGTTCTATCTGGGGGAATTCAACATGTGTATGGGTAATAAATGTGATATAATTTGAGGGGAGACAGAACAATAAAAGCTCAGGTGATCAGGAAGGATTTCCCATAGGATACATGGTTACAGTCCTAGAGAGATTTATTATAATTATGCACATTTCTAGACTGGATTTGATGGCAACATATGAAAAAATTAGAAGAGAACAAATATATCGTATGAGGAGTAACGCTTGGTGCCTAGGGACTTTTATGAATCATTTGGGTGTCTTAGGTTCCTCAGTATCGGTGCTCTTTTCATGCCATGTCTTTACCTCATCTCAGACTTATTTCTTTGGATCATCTAAAAGTTTCATCATTGGTCTAAGGTTCTTGAGATCTACTACAATGAGAGCTACAACAATGCAAACTGTCAACATCTCCCATTCACCTTTCTTCCCTTCTTGGAGCTTTTTTTTTTTTGGTTAGGCAATGTGGTTAAGTGACTTGCCCAGGGTCACACATCTACTAAGTGTCATGTGTCTGAGGCCACCTTTGAATTCAGGTCCTCCTGAATTCAGGGCCGGTGCTCTATCCACTGCATCACCTAGCTGCCCCTTCTTCTTGGAGATCTTTATCGGTCTTCTAAGTGTTTGGAAATGTTTACCAAATCTTTCTCCCTTTAAAATCACCTTTATTTTTATTTTCAATGTTTATTTTAAACATGCTTTTCTTTTAAAAATTTGAGTTCCAAATTCTCTCCCTTCTACCTCTTCCCTCTGTAAAATTATATCAATTATATATGTGAAATCATGCAAAACATTTCTATATTAGCCATATCACAAAAAAGCAAAAAAAAATGATAAAATTGTGCTTCAACTTGAACTCAGAGTTTATCAGTTCTTTCTCTGGGGATGGATAGCATTTTTTCATCTTGAGTCCTTTGGAATTGTCTTAGATCACTGTATTGATCAGAGTAGCCGAGTCTTTCACAGTTGAACATCATTAAAACAATATGCACAATGATATCCCTATTCTTCTCACTTCACTTTGCATCAGTTCATATAGGTCTTGCTATATTTTTTCTGAAAACATCCTGTTCATCATTTCTTGTAGCACAATAATACTCTACCACAATCACATGCCACAACTCGTTCAGGTGTTCTCCAGTTGATGAGCATCCTCTCAATTTCCAATTCTTTGCCATGATAAAAAGAGCTGCTATAAATATTTTTATACATATAGGTCCTTTTTATTTTTTCTTAACTTCTTTGGGGTATGGACGTAATAGTGGTATTACTGGATCAAAGGATATGCGCAGCTTTACAGCCCTTTGGGCATAGTTCCAAATTGTTCTCCAGAATGACTAGACTAATTCACAACTCTACCAACAGTTCACTAGTGTATCTATTTTCCCTCAGCCTCTCCAGCACCTATCATTTCTGATAGGTGTGAGGTGGTACCTTAGAGTTGTTTTTAATTTGCCTTTCTCTAATCAATATCGATTTAGAACATTTTTTCATATGACTATAGATAGCTTTGATTTCTTCTGAAAACTGCCTGTTCATATTCTTTGACTATTTATCAATTGGGAACTGGCTCTTATTTTCACAAATTTGACTTGGTTCCCTATGTATTTGAGAGATGAGGCCTTTATCAGAGAAATTTAACTTTAAATTTTTTTGATATTATTTCATTGTCTGTGATACCTTTTAGCAAAATATAGTTTCCCTGATTATCTCTTTCAAATTGGGCCTAGTTTTGCTTTTGCTTTGTCTGAGGTCGTGACTGCTACTCATGTCTTCTCTAATTTGCTTTGTAAAATCATTTTTAAGCTCTTCCAGGAATTTTTTTGTGCCTGAGACCAGATTACATTTTTCTTCAAGGCTTTACACATAGCCATTTTGACACTATTGTCCTCTTCTAAGTCGATGCCTTGATCCTCCCTATCACCATAGCAGGTTTCTATAGTCAAGCTCTTTTTTCCCCCCATTTTTTCTTTTTATGTGGCTTTGGGTTTTCATGTAAGAGTTGGGCTTTGGTCCTGCACTGTCCCAAGTGCTTTGTGCTGGGGCTCTTGGTCCTACTGATGACTTTCACTGGACTTCAGAGCTTAGCTGCTTGCTTTCTCTGGAGGGTAGGCTTCCCTTCTGGCTTGTCCTGGGGTGGGGCATCCCTGTCGGCCTCCCCTGAGTGTGGGGTTTATTACTGGCCTGTTCCAGGGATGGGCTGGTGCTGCGGGTTGTTAAGGTTTCAGAGTCTTTCTGGTGGCTGGCCCTGGAGAAGGGATCTTGATGCTGGTCTGCCTCAGGGGTGGGCCCTGCTGCTGAGTTGCTATGGAAGCAGGGCCTCTTTGTTGGTAGGCGCTAGGGGCTGGGTCTTGCTATTGGCCAGCTCAGGAGCAGGGCTTCGCCACTGGTCAGCAGTTAGGATCGAGGCCTTGCTGGTAGCTTATGCTGGGAGTGGGGCCTTGCTGTGCTGCACAGACTGCGCACTTGATAGGAGGCTGCTGCTTTGCAGGAGGTTGGGGCCCCACTGGTGGGTTGCCCTAGCATGGAGCCCTTCTGCAGGCTTCCTGCCGTGAGGCTGGCTGCTGTTGCTCTTGGACCCCTCTCCCCTTCCATCCCAGTGAGACAGACCTTTCCTGTGCTGCAGTTAAGCTGCTTCCCTGCTTCTATATCAATTCTGAGGTGATTTTCTAGTTGTTTGGAGAGGAATTTGAAAGGGCTTCAGAGGGTTCCTTCCTCACTCTACCACCTTGGTCCAATTCTGTTTTTTAAGGTGTTATTTTCCTTAAGTATTTTGGGTGCCTTTTTGTCCCAAGGTGTTAATTCTCTTTTTCTTTTTTTGGCTAGGCAATGGGGTTGAGTGACACAGGGTCACACAGCTAGTAAGTGTTATATGTCTGGGGCCGGATTTGAACTCAGGTCCTCCTGAATCCAGGACCAGTGCTCTATCCACTGCCCCACTTAGCTGCCCCTTAATTCTCTTTTAATAATTTTCTTGTATCACTCTAATTTCTTTTCCAATTTTTCTTCTACCATTCTTATCTCTTGCTTGAACTTTAATTCTTGTTGGGCTTTGATCTAATTAGCACTTTTCTTTGAGGCTTTGTTTGTATCTGTTTTCACATTATTCTCTTTTTCTGAGTGTATGTCTTGGTCTTCCCTGCCACCATAATGGCTTTTTATGGTCAATTTCTTTTTCCCCCCTTCTGTTTATTCATTTTCCAGCTTATTTCTTGACTTTGAACTTTATATTAAAGTTGGACTCTGCTTACATGTGTATGGGGAAGTTCTGACTGAAGCTTCAGGCCTTTTCTTTTTTTTTTTTAGAGGCAATGGGGGTTAAGTGACTTGCCCAAGGTCGCACAGCTAGCTAGTAAGTGTCTGAGGCCAGATTTGAACTCAGGTCCTCCTGACTCCAGGACCAGTGCTCTATCCACTGTGCCACCTAGCTGCCCCCAAGCTTCAGGCTTTTTCGTGCTGCTATTTTCAAACTTATTGCTGGGAGTTTTTGGTGCTTCAAGGTGGTGTAATTCTGGTAGAGGAATGGTCACTGTTCTCCTGCCCTGTGCTTTGGTCTTTACCCAGAAAGGGCCCCTGCTCTCCTATAGTCACAATCACTAGCACTTCTCTTGTCCTTGGAACCGTGACCAGGTCCCCGATCTCCTGTAGCCGCAAGTGCTAGCTCTCCTTTTTGCCTTGGAATTGTGACTAGTGCCCCTATTATCTTGTGATCAGTCACAAGGACTTCTCTCCACTTTGGAACAGTGACCTAGAACTGCATATAAGCAACAGAGTGGCCAATCAGTGCCAGCTGCATCCAGTACCCGCAAAGGGTCCCCTGTAATCTCTTTCTGACCAGTTGTCCAACTCCCTTCCCGTCTCTGGGCTGAGACCTCCCAAAGCTGAAGCTGCTGACCTGCTATTGTAGCCACCTTCACGGCCCACTGCTGGCGCTGCCACCCCACATGCTCCAGATTGGCCTCACCCTGGTGTCCTAGACCTTTCTTGCCAACATCCCAAGTTGTCTTAGGCTGGAATAATGTCTCACTCTGACCTTTTGTTGGCTCTGCCACTCCAGAATTCCATTTAAGGCATTATTTTAAAGTTGTTTAGAGAGGAACATTGGGAGAGTTTGGCTGGGTTGCTGTCTATACCCTGCCATCTTCTTTAATCACTTTTAAAAGAAGATCCACATTTATACATTTTTTTTTTTGGAGGGGGTCACCTTCAGGCACTGCAATAGGAACACTGTTTTTTGTACTCTATATCTGAGGCCTGAGGCATTTGCAGTAGGTCTAAAATAGCCTTTGGGTGACTGATTGTAACAGTTCTTGGTGGAGGCAAGGCTTGCTTTGTGGCTAATCTACAACAGCTGTGAGGATGTTTTAAAAGAATTAGCATTTGAAGTTGTTGGCAGGATAAGCATAAACACTTCATCAGCAATGAGATGTTAATATGCAGAAAGGAGGCCTGAGTCAGTAAATAAGCAGTTTTTTTCTTGTATTAAATTTCCAACACAGAGACCAATATGAATCCTAGACTGGTTGGTATCCCTTAAACAAATCCAGTGGGTCAAAGGGAAATAAGCTGGCCAATCCTTAAGAAAATCTTACCTTTGCTGACTAGTTGAAGGACCTGGCCAAGACTGGTAGTGTTGACAAGTACTTATCATCAGAAGTAGATGGGCTAGGTGAGGACAATGTTAACTCTAGAAGACTGCCTAGTCTGTCTGAGCTTGGCTTCTGATTACAGCCAAGAGGTCAGTCCAGGGAAACCCACCCTAAGCATCATCTTGTCCACAGTGGCAATACTCAAATAATTCTTTGTGCCAGGGCAGATCATATCCATAAAATAATATAGAAGAAATTTTGTGTTACCAAAGAGGGTCTCTAGAGGTAGCAGGCCACTTCTTCTTTGATGGGTAACCAGAGCAGGCTGATGAAAGGCATCATTTAATACAGTAGCTTCCAAACTTCGTGTAGCAATGCTCTTCTTTAGAAAGAAATACAAACCCTTCCATATTTTTCATAAAATATTCAAGGCAAATAATCTTTTTTATTTACATTACACTTTTTAAAAGAACTTAAGAATTTATTATACTTGTATAATAAACGTGTCCTAAAATACATCAAAATATAAAGCACATACACTTATTCACAAAAGTCTTTATAATTTTGCTATTTATAACACAAAATAACAACCTAATAATATTATTAATGTGATGATTGGGTTTGTTTTTGGTATGAAGTTTTTAAAAAACATGGTGTTGCCACTCATAATTCTCTGTCAACTAACAAGCAGAACTGATATTTTCATCTTTGTAAGAGTTACAGCAGAAAACCTAGTTTTACACAAATAGAATGTTATGAACAGTTATGAGATTTGCATTACTTTGTTCTATTAAACAAAAGATTCATGAATACCAAAACATAATAAGATTTTAAGTTTCAAATGCTTGTTTTATATGCTATCACAAGACAAGTTTATTAGCCATTTTTGTTTATCTGGAGTAAGGCTAAATGTATCATATTCGCCCATGGCAAATTGGTTCCTTATCCATTCATATTCAGAAATATCTAGGTCTTCAAAATAAGATGAAAATTGCTTCAATAGTCTGGTCAAGTGATAAATAAGGAGGTCTGTATTTTCTTAGTATATAGGAAGTTCATTCCATCCTTTCTTAAGGAATGAGTAAACATTTCACATGTTGAATCCCAGAAGGAAAAAAAAAAACATGAATATGTCTCTGAGGCCTTTGATTCCTCATTTGAGTGAATAACCCAAAGCTATACTCTAGGCACTCACCAGATGATTGGTATATATCCCATAAATAAGGACTGTTCTTGTCCTTTGCTTTCTACTTTAACCCTAAAATCAGCTAGAAAGGAAGCCTTTCTTGGTCCCCCTTAAATCTGGTGCATTTGTTATGAGATTTTCTCCAGTTTATCCTCTATATGTATTGTTTTGGGCAGCTATGTGGTGCTGTAGATAAAGCACTAGACCTGGGGTCATGAAGATTTGAGTTCAAGTCCAGCCTCAGATACTAGCTGTGTGACTTTGGGCAAATCACTTGACCTTTTTGCCTCAGTTTCCCCATATGTAAAATGGGGATAATAATAGCACCTACCTCCCAGGATTGTTGTGAGGATCAAGAGAGATAATAATTGTAAAGTGCTTAGCACAGTGCCAGGCACATAGCAAGCACTACATAAATGTTAACTATGTATTACACATAGTTGTTTGCTTGTTGTCTTCCCTCATTAGATTGTGAGCCCCTTAAAGGCAAGGACTGTTTTTTGCCTTTCTTTGTATCTCTGTCACTTAGAGTAGTGCCTAGTATGTAGTAGGTGCTTAATAAATGCTTTTGACTGGACTGTTTCCCCCAAAACTTCATAAAATATTCATTTGGACCTAGAGGGTCCCATAACACCTGGCATCATAGATAAGATCCTCCAAATCTCCCTTATTAGCCAACCTTAAGTAAATCAAGGAACATTCTGTCCTCATGCTTTCACCCCCCTCAACTAATTACTGTACAAAAGATCTCAAAGCATAGATCTGGGAGAAGAGGTACCAGAATAACAGTTGTTCTCTACCATTCACTATCTAGAACCCCTGCAAAAGAAGGAGTGTCTGTAACAATGGCAGAGATGAGAACTTTCCTATACAAAAAGGGAAAGCTGGGGAGCCATCATGGTTTTAGGGTACTACAGTCTATCACTCCTGTCTCTAGCCTTCCTCAGGTCTCAGCTGGCTATACAGAATATCCTTTAATCAACCTTGAAAAAAAGTATTCTATGTGGGCTTCCTTATCCCCTCCCTAGTATGGATCTAGATTTGCCCCCAAAATTATTGCATGTGTACCTTCAACACCTCATTGCAATTTATAAGGTTTCATGCTATCTACAATGAGAGCTGTTGTGTAAAGCAAACACAACATTTTTTCACTTCTATCAGTAATAATACTTGTGAATCCCAGTGATACAGTAGGTTGTATTTTCTGGATTTGGACTTTTTACTTCCCGTTTCTGTATTTCTGTTACTCAAACTGCCTCTTGAGTTTTAGCTTATACTAGTCTTAGCTTTTCCTGTGGCGTTTCTCCTTAAACTGACTACGTATTTATATATCATAAAAGGATATTACTTTACTTTAAAAAATGGAGGCAATAAAAAGTTTAAGATAATTAAATTTAATTGTTGACAATTTTAAATGATAACCTATAACCATTCTGAGTTGTGTCAGTTTTTTAAAAGCTGAAGTTTTTTTGAAACGAGTTCCTTATATTATATTTATCAAAATGAATGACACTGAGAAATGTAACAGATGCTATGGTACTTTAAACTTCAACACTCAACTTGTTCAGCTGTCAGTTTGCATTCTTGACTTTGAAATGCAGCAAGCAGCTCAGCAGTGCAACTCGTCCTTGTCATGAACCTTTGCTAAATGATGGTGATGGTGGAAGATTGTGCCCATGTCACAATATGACACACATCAACTAAAATCTGGCCATATTTAGCATATTTTAGTAAACAATCTTTGTGCTGCATTTACTATCAGTTGAAGTAAACTTGCTTTTGCATACTAGGATTTGAATTTTATTTTCATTATAAATAGTGAATATAATTATATGGTAATTGTACTTGAAAATATCCGATACTTTTGGATAATGTTTTGCCTCTTTCTTCTCCAGGGTCTCCTGTCTTCCCAGGTATGTATACTATACAGTTTAGAAAACCCTGACTCAGTATTTAGCTGATGGTGAGGGGAGAAGAAGGGAGTTGTTGACTTCGGAGAAGGCACACATTTTCCTAATATACTCTGTTGGATAGCAACGGTAGAAGGAGAAAGACAGCTGTGGTTGTGTGTAAAAACTACCTCCTCCGTGGAAGATTTTCTTATCCAATTATTACTTTACCCCATCTCTTTCCTATTTGAATTTTTGTTTACGATGGGCATAATTTCAGCCAAAACCTTGTCTAATTTTCAAAATAGGATTAGCATTGATTACATAGGATATTTGGACTTTAGATTTTAGAACGAATGAAAAATAGCGTATTTAAGACTTCATTATGTGTGAAACTCTGGGACTGCAAATACTATCAAGGAGCTCACATTCTAATGGGGGAGACAATAGGAGCCTAACATGATTCAGCCGCAGGGCACGGGGAAAGGCCCAGGGGCTTTGAGTTTCAATAGCAAAGCAGATGGCAATGCATCTTCTCTGAGGTCTTGTAACACTATTTCTTGAAGTCCTCTTTCCTGCTTTTCTTTGTTTGTGACTGCTGATGATTAAATTACAAAAAAAAAAAAAATAAAAAGAAAGCATGGTAGAGACCTTAAGAAAGTTCTGGAAGGATTGTAGGAGGTTCCATGGAATAGATAGGAGTGTCTTTACTCCTTCAAAATGCCATAGAAGAGAAGGATGGTACAGGAGACCAAATAAATTGGGAAAGTATTTTGAATTTGTACTCAAAAGACCTAGGTTCAAATCCTGAATTTTCAAAAATAAAACCTCATCAGTTTCTGCTGTGGAATGATTAGATAGTGTCAAGGTCTCAGTGGTGAGAACTTTCCTTTCTGGATCTTCAGTAGCTGTGGCTGCAGAGGAGGCAGGGGCTGTAGTGCCTGCAGAAGCATTGCCAGGTTGTATCTTCACAGGGGTTGCTCTTTGCTTGTGCCTTTCTCATACATTCACTAAGCATTGTTTTGTTTAAAATGTACCCAATGTGTGTAGGTCTTATCCCCTAAACTCCATGAAAACTGGGTATATCCTCCAGCATCTTGCCCAATAATAGGTGCTTAATAAATATTTGTTGAATTGAACAAAACTGAAAATTCCATTTACCCTTTTTGCTACCAGGTACTTTATCCAGTTTTCCACTCTGAGGTTTGGGAAGCCTATGTGTGAGTCATGCCCAAGTTTTTGTGTTCAAAGCTGTTGATCCTCATGTCCTGAATTTACTTACTTAAGCAAACACAGGAAGGAGCAAATCAGGACATCAGAGAATTAATAGAGACTCTGATCTGGGTATTAATTGGTTTGGCTCCACATGGATCGCATGTACTCTAAGTGAAGATAAGGAGAGATTGAACAAAACTCAGCCAAAAGTCAAGACAGCCAGCCCACTTCTCTCTGGTGGTTTTGTGGTTTTTTTTCCTCCTCCCTGGTGGATTTACAGAAGCTAGATTTTCTTCTTATTGTTGGAATAATTTCATTTTCCCCATTGACCTGAAGACCTCCCATTGGTTGGGCAGGAGAGCTAAAGATGAACACCTTTGTTCAGAACATTCAGCTTTATTTCTTCACCAGTCAACAGGAATGGATCATAGTATTAAAGTTATGCAACTAAAAGAGACCTTAAAGTCATCTAGTTTAACCCTTTCATTATACAGATGAGGAAAATGAGGCTCAGAAAAGTTAAGTGAATTGCTGCTTACTGTGTGACCCATGTGTGTTGTTGTCCTTTGTTTTTCGAAGAGAACCAAAATGACATCACTATGCTAGAGTCAAGTTTTAGTGTGCCTGACTGTGGCTGACTAGACCAATATGAGTTCGGAATGTTCTACCACATTTGGGCACAAATAGTCCATGTGAACCTTTGGAATGGATTCTCTATTTTGTGTTTCTCTTAAGCTACTGCAATTCTGCTTTGCTCATAGAGCACAGCACCTTTTCTGAGGAGGGCACACCACGCTGGCAGTTCTGTGCCAGTGTCTCCCATGTCACACAAGCAATTCCAAAGTTCTTAAGAGAGACCTGGAGAGTGTCCTTGTATCACTTCTTCTGACTGCCAGGTGAATGCTTGGTTACACGGTAGATCAATGCAGTGCTCTGTGTTTGGGAGGTGTTAGGGGATGAGTTCCAGGCTATCTCTGATCCTATAAAAATTCTATAAAATAACTAATATCTTACATGTGTATAGCATCTTTCACTTTACAAAGCCTTTCGAAATACATGGTGGTTGTAACAATCATATAAGATCATGTATAAGGTAAGTAGGACAAAAATTCTCATCTTCGTTTTACAGATGGAGAAACTGAGATAGGGAGGTTAAAGAACTTCCATCAGTCAACAAATATTTATTGAAGCTTACTCTGTTCAAGGCCCTGGAACTATAAGAAATCAAAAACAATCTAAGATAAAGTCCCCGCCCTCAGAGAACTTTCACTCAGGTCTGGAGATAATTTCTTCAGGTATGTGAAGTAATGCAGGATAGCACTATAAGAGATATAGCAAGGCGGTACATGACTAAGTGGTAAATGAGTTGTTGAGTAGATTTCTGGGCAATGATAGGTATGGGGGGGGAAAAGAACATTAATAAAGAACATCAACATTTTTAAAAAGTTGCTCGGAGGGAAGGAGGGGAAGTGCAGAAGGGGTAAGCATTTTATCTGGACAAGTACACATAAGTATAAATGTATATATATGTATATACATTTCCAGTGGGAAGAAGAAAACAAACACGAGCACTCAAAGACAAAAGAAAAAATGACTTTTTGTTTCCTATATGGAAAGAGGAGTGACTCTTGCTAATAGCTCAGGATAGGTTCCTTTAACTTAAAATGAGAAACGGACACATCTAGATATGTCTTTCTTTCAAATATCTCTGCCATGTAAGTTTTTGTGGAATGTTACTCTGGTTTCGTACTACTTCTTGATCTAATATACATATACGTATACAGGTATGTGAATATATGCACACAGACATATTATATGTGCATATATATTATATATACATGTGTGTATCATATATATGTAGTCTGCCTACCTATCCATCATCTATCTGTCTATTATCTATCTATCTAAAATATTATATATGGTAAAGATTTACTCTTTCTTGTTTCCTCTTTCTTTGTTTGTGATTATTATTTAAAAAGTAAAAAGAAAGAATGGTAGAGACCGTAAGTGGGCTGTGGAGGGACCAGAGGAGGTTTCATGGAATAGGTAGGAGTGTCTTTACTGCTTTAAAATGCTACTGAAGGGAAAGATGAGAGGAAAGAAAGTATACTAACTTGTGAAAATATGTTAGATTTGAAGTCAAAGAACCTGGGTTCAAGTTCTGACTCTGCTACATATTAGGTTTGTGACTGTGGGCAAGTGACTTAATCCCTCTAGGCTACATTTTCCTCATCTATAAAATGAAGGAGTTGAACTCGTTGGCTCTAAATCTATAATCTTATGATTCCAAGTGGAAGGAACTTTCCTGGGAACAACAGATTGCACCATCAGTTTACCAAATGGTTATTCCTCAAAACTCTTTCACACGTTTCATACTCCTTACTAAAATGGATTATTTGCTGTTCCCTGGTCTTGTACCATCTTTTCTCATCTTGTGTAGAATGGTCTACCTGCATTCAGCTTCTCTACCCATCTATACCTGTTGAAATCCTTCCCTTCCTTCACTGCAGGTGCCAAGTCTTTCATGAAGTCTTCTCTTTTCAAATCTCTTGTGCCCCTCTGTTTGTATCCATCCTGTGCACTTATAACATGTACTAATTATCTGCATGTGGATCTTATACCTTTGGCTAGGTTGTAATCTCCCTGAGGGGTGTATGGGATGTTCATGTAGGAGTAGCACCTCTGCTGTGAAGGCTTGCTGAGCCCTTTTCAGGGCTGCTCATCTACCTTTGGGGTCCACCTTTTCATCCAACTCTCATCTAAGGCTCCAAGAAGCTGTGGCATGCACAGTGACCACACCCCAGTTAACACTCTTGGCAGATGGGCTAAACTAGGCTGGGAGTAATCAATATGCCTGAAACCTGTTGGTGAGTTGGGGCGATGCCTACCCCAAGACTTCCCTGGGAAGAATGGGTGGATGAGAACAATCTGTTCCAGTGGCCATCAAGGTTGTCAAGGTCATCATCCGTTGCATCCCAGGCCATCCTAGTTATCCTTACTTTTGCCTTACCACTGGGTTTCAGTGACTCGGGAAGAGAGAGTGAGGCCGACAATTTTGAGCAATTCTGCCTTACTTAAATCCAATTCATGAGCAAGTTAAGACATCACCCCATGATGGCATTGGTTTTCTTCTAATCGAAGGACTAACAATGATTCTTCCTGAATGCAGGAATCACGTCTTGTCATCATTGTTATCTCCAGTGCCTAAAAGAGCTCTATCCGTACATGAACAGACACTGAATCAGTACTTTCCAGAATTGTCCTGAATTAGAGACATTTACAGTCAGAGCCTCAATGGAGAGGCAAAGAGCTTGAGCTTGACATTATATAACAGAAATAAAGATGGGAGTGGGGGGTGGCAGGTAGGTGGAGCAGTGGATAGAGCGCTGGATAGAGCACCGGCCCTGAAGTCAGGAGGACCTGAGTTCAAATCTGACCTCAGATACATGATACTTGCTAGCTGTGTGACCCTAGGCAAGTCACTTAACCCCGATTGCCTCACCCCCTCCAAAAAAGAAATAAAGATACTTTCCTTTGAAAATCACTAAAATGCATTTTGTAAACTGAGATCTCAAATCAAATGAGATATTATTTGAAAGCTATTTAGCACAATGCCTGGCACATAGTAGGCACTATTTGAATGCGTATTCTTTTCCCCTCCCCTCTAATAAGATGCTAAGATTTAAATAACAGCACCAATTGTGCAGAAAATAGTTACTGCCCCATGCATTGTCTATATATAGTGGAAGGTGTGCTGGTTTGGGAATCAGGAGGACTGGCTTTGAATCCCAGCATTGTCGCTTCCTAGCTATCTGACTCTGAGCAGATGACTTCTCTTTTCTAAGCCTCAGTTTCCTCATTTGTAACAGAAGAATAATAACATTTGTACTGTCTTCCTGGAGATTAAGTATGGTATAAGGGATATGGTATGGCCTCCAGGGCAAGAAGACTTGGCTTCACACCCTGGCTAAGGGACCCTGGACGAGTCATCTGATTTCTCAGTGCTCAAAGTGACTCCAGGGCTCTACACTGCAGAATGCTGCTGATCTGCATTGGCAGAGGGAGTCTGCTGCGAGTTCTTTCCACCAATAAAATCAGTCTCTATCTCATCTTTATTAACTACCTCAGAGTCGCTATGAAGAAAATACTTGTAAACTGTGAGTGTAAGTTATTATTCTACTAGATTTCAGACTCCATGAGGGCAAGAGCAGTGTCTTATCTCATCCTTATATCTCTTTCAGCATGTACTATAAAATAATATCTATGGTAGTTCCTGGATATATATTTTTTGAATGAATTGACCCACTTGACCCACCCTCAGCAAAACATTTTTTGAGTAGTTTTTGTAGCAGATAGTTAGATGGTGAAGTGGGTAGAGAACTGTGTCTAGATTTAGAAAGACCTGAGTTCAAATCTGCTCTCAGACACTTACTAGCTGTGTGACCCTGGGAAAGTCTACTAAGGTTCCCCTGCCTCAGTTTCCTCAACTCTAAAATGGGGATGATAATAATAGTGCCCACCTTCTGTGATTGTTGTGAAGGTAAAATGAGACATAATTTGTAAAGCACTTTGCAAATCTTAAAGCATTGTAGAAATGCTACCTATTATTACTATCATCATCATCATTATTAGCAGTAGTGATAGGTCTACACACACTCTCTTATCTGATGTCCCATCTTTTTTGCATACACTTGCTAGCTATATGTCTCCTTTGTTATACTTATGCAGTTTAGTTTTTGAACCTAAGTATAGAATTGCACACTTATCTCCATTACGTTTTTTCTTGTTAGCTTCAGCCTATTGAGATTTTCTTGGATTCTGTTCCAAGTGGAATGATAGGGTAGCTAGATGAGTTAAAAAGATTAAGGGGAAAGACTTTTGTAGAACTTTGGAAGCCTAAACATGATTGTAAATGGTACAATAGAAAGGGGGCTGGTTCTGGAAGTGAGAGGAGCTGGGGTTAGATCTCAGAACAAATACTTTTAATATAGGATTTATTCTGTAAAACTTAGACTCAGTCAAAGGGCCACACTTAAGGACCTACAGGACCACATGTGGCCTTGAAGCCGTAGGTTCCCCACCCCTGGAAAGTATTCATTAGACACAGACAAACAATATGTGAGATAGCTCTAAAAACTGATAGGCCAGAAAGTGATAGGAGCAGAGCAGAACCTTTGTCTACTTTTTTTTTTTGAGGCAATTGGGATTAAGGCAATCAGGGTCACACCTTTATTTACTTCTTAATAAAACTTCTGAAAATTCCTGATCTATCTGTCTGTCTATCTATTTTCTGTCTGTCTGTCTATCTATCTATCCTGTCTATCTATCCACCCATCTATTGTCTGCCTATCTGTCTATCAACCTCTATCTATCTATCTATCTATCTATCTATCTATCTATCTATCTATCTATCTATCTATCTGTCTGTCTGTCTGTCTGTCTGTCTGTCTGTCTGTCTGTCTGTCTGTCTGTCTATCTGTCCTGTCTATCTACCTGTCTATTGTCTGCCTGCCTGTCAATCTATCTATCTATTGTCTGTATATCTATCCATCTGTCTGTCTGTCTGTCTGTCTATCTATCTATCTATCTATCTATCTATCTATCTATCTATCTACCTGTCTATTGTCTGCCTGCCTATCTGTCAATCTATCAATCTGTCTATCTATCTATCGTCTATCTGTCTATCAATCTATCTACACTCCACACCCCCCCCACACCCACACACCCACACACCCCTCTGCTAGATATATGTACAGATGTACTAACTCAGTAGTCTGGTCATGCAACTACATGTAATAATTTAAGCACAAGGTATTTTTCATCCATTTGGTTTTTCCTATATGGATTGTTGGACCAGTCTTTTAATGTCATACACAAAGAGGAGCATCTGGAAGAACTCATCTTCTATGAGGAATCTGATTTTTATTTGAAACATCCACAGGAATTTTACATACCATTGACGAAACACCTTTAATGAGCCTACAGCTATCTATTTAGTGCTTCACTTGACAATAGTTAGAGGGCAGTTGGGCAGTGTTATTTCCATAGTTGTAGTTATCAGAGAGTCATGTGACATCTTCATATGTATGGGATCATAGATTTAAAGCTGGAAGGTGCCTTAGAAACCACTAAGCCCAAACCTCTCATTTTACAGACAAAGAAATT